CCTGGTGAGTAGAAATCTGGTTATACTTGCATACAATTTCTCATTTCTTATTACTGATTACAGAACTGACATAGTTGAGAGTAGGGACAGTGAGAAATATGTGTTCCACATACTCTTCCTGTCTGTTCTCATTAAGGATTCCAGCTGTCTTCTTCACAAAGAATAGTGAATTTCTAATAATATGTATAGGAGATCATTGTGATGAATATTCCCTATCGATCAGGACTGAGCCACCATGCTGAAAATAACATTTATCCAGCCTCAGTTTGGCAATGTAAATTTGTATCCATGTTCTAATATTAATAGCCTGGTCGTTAACTATCTCTATTGTGTTTCAAACTTGTCAACTCTATTAGGTTTAAAGCACTCCCATCCCAAATTTAAATTAACAATATCTGTAAGTTTCCACAGATAGCTGATATGAATGTTTTTTTATTGTTGTCATGCTAACATGCTTTTTTGTTTGCACTTCAGTTTTGGAGATGTACACTAAGCTAACCAAACAGATGAAAGATGACAGGTACATGTATGCTATTACTTAAACCTTGAGTGGCTGAGTCACTTGCTAAGCTTTGTTTTGGAATACCACCATATCAAATTACTTTACCCAATGTCTCTATTTATGACACTAATCAGGTACTACCCGGCTCTGAAAACGCTTGAACAGCTGGAACATACATACTTACCAAGAGTTAAGGGATACAGGTTCTCACAGATAATGACAGAAAATATCCCAAAACTTCGAGATAGTATAAAAGAAGCGTCTATGTCTGAATTTGTTGATTTTTTGGAAAATATCAGGGAGCATTCCGACAGAATTGGTCAGGTAGCTATGAAACAGGTAAGGGAAAGTTTGAAGCTTGTTTTACATTTTGTCTGTGTGTGTGTATAGATCTGTCCATGCATTCATCATCATTTCTTTGACATGTCTGGACCAATTTTGTTGGCACAAAGGCAAGTCGCAATTCGAGACATACATGTATGCACATTGATTACTTTTTTCTTTCTGTTGATCTTTGACTGGTTGCCATTTTAGTTAAAAAAATACACAAAAAGTATATTTCTCAGCCATCCATAAGGTGAGATGCCGGTTCAAACCCTGTTGGTAATAGTACTGACATTAGCAGGGGGAAAAACGCATCTCTGACTGATCAGTTGAGCTATCACTTATAAATAAACAGATGTTACATACATGTAACTAGTCATCACAGTCCTCGCGAACAACTGTGAATCAAGACCGCAATGTGTACACCCAACAATTCACACCCTAGGATGAATGACAGCTAGTAGGTCTATACTGTAGAATCGATTTTAACTTAATGCTCACCACAAAACTGCGCAAAAATGTTGTGTATCAAATGAGCTGTTATCATCATAAACAATTTTACATTCTTCTTCTTCAGTTTCTTCTACCCTTAGGTGAGCATGATTTGTTTGTTTCAGTTATGGGTATGGGTATTATTTGCAAATTTCTTTGTAACCATGTGCTTCACAGTCGGTCAAAACCTTGAATCCATGATGCTTTTGTTAGTCGCCATTCAGACGTAATCCATATTTTTTTCAGATAGGTTCAAAATGGCCGAATGCAAAGGCTTTTCTAAAGTCATGTCTCTGACATACTTTGACTGATTGCAATCAAACGTTACAACTATAGAACATGAGAAATAATTTTTCATTTAAACATTTTCACTCTTCCTTACTCTCATGTAATTTGTTTCATGTTCTGATTCAAAATGGCCGACTCCTTTCAGTTTTGTTTACTATTTGACTTAATGGGGACTCTGTCATATCATAACAAGACTTGTTGTCTTAGCTCAGGCATGACACAAACATGACATGTACCGTATGTAATGTCTGTCCTTATTTTTGCTGAATACCCTAAATTCTTTTAGAACCAATTGGGAACCAAAATTTCACCACTTCACATGTATGTAGTTACTCTAATAGGATTGCATTGTACCATTTTATTTGAAGCCCCGGCTTTTAGTACATATTTTACAGTCAGTCTTTTTTTAAGTCCCTGAAAACAGGGACTTGTGAATTGACCTCTGTGCAATTGTGTCCGTGTGTGCGTTATCTTAGACATGCCTGGACTGATTACATTCAAACTTCACACGTACACATACATGTACATCATACATAATATTATACATGTACATATACACATCAATTTGTTTAATGATCTGATTCAAGATGGCCGAATGGCGGCCATTTTTGTGCTAAAAAATCATCAAAAATCAAGCATCAGCTTCTGGATCCATATCTCTTACATGTTAATGTTCCAACTGTATTACTATAAACAAAACTATATACATGTATCTTAAGTTTGATAACTAACAGGGACTGTGCCATGCATGGCTTGTTTATTTTAACTCTTTTGCAGGGGCAAAAGCAATCCAGTATAGAGGATCGGGTGACGAAGCAAGGCAAAGAGACATCAATTAAAAAGAATCGTCCTGGTACTAACAGTCCTCCTGAGTCTGAAAGTCATGGTAACCCATTTGATGATGATGATGATGATGAATTCCAAGAGGATGAAGATCCGGATGAAGAAGAGGAGGAGGTCTGTAATATTAGAGTCAGCAAATACAGATACCGAATCAAAAATAGAATATTTATAAACCTTTTCTTATTTCATATGATAACAAATCAATATTTCAGTTTACGCAAGATATCTGGAAATTACATGTTGAACTAACAAGTCTCAGGGCTGAGAAATGTGTGAAGTTTTCAGACAAGTTTTTGGTCTACTGTATTTTCTCTATTAGCCCCACATAATCTCTATAATGAGATCATTGACATACATGTGTGGCAAGTGTAAGCAATCAAAGCTGTGCCATGTTTTATGCAAATTTATGCATTGATTCTATGGCTCTGTCCATGAGTGGTAAGCTCATACAGCAATTCACACATATTGTCAAGACAATGAATAAACATAAGAATTACATAGCAACAAATTGTAATGAATATACATAAGAATTACATAGCAACAAAATTCAAATGAATATACACAGAATTACATAGCAACAAAGTTCAAATGAATATACACAGAATTACATAGCAACAAAGTTCAAATGAATATACACAAAATCACATAGCAACAAAGTTCAAATGAATATACACAAGAATTCCATAGCAACAAAGTTCAAATGAATATCCACAGAATTACATAGCAACAAAGTTCAAATGAATATACACAGAATTACATAGCAACAAAGTTCAAATGAATATACACAAGAATTACATAGCAACAAAGTTCAAATGAATATACACAGAATTACATAGCAACAAAATTCAAATGAATATACACAAGAATTACATTGCAACAAAGTTCAAATGAATATACACAATAATTACATAGCAACGAAGTTCAAATGCAAAATTAAGTAAAGTCTGCTCCATATGTTGACATTTTACTTGACCTTAAATATAATAACCAATCAAAACATGCACTATGAAAAACAAACCAAAATAAAATAATGCATTGCCATTGACTTGGTACAACTTAGTCTATGACAGCTGGGTGATTGTCAACATAATTTTTAGACTTGCCTTGTGCATACTCAGTGCTGCCATGCTGTGTTACTAGCCTTGTGCTTACTCAGTGATGCCATGCTGTGTTACTTGCCTTGTGCTTACTCAGTGATGCCATGCTGTGTTACTTACTCTGTGATGCCATGCTGTGTTACTTACTCAGTGATGCCATGCTGTGTTACTAGCCTTGTGCTTACTCAGTGATGCCATGCTGTGTTACTAGACTTGTGCGTACTCGGTGATACCATGCTGTGTTACTTACTCAGTGATGCCATGCTGTCTTACTTGCCTTGTGCGTACTCAGTGATGCCATGCTGTCTTACTTACCTTGTGCGTACTCAGTGATGCCATGCTGTATTACTTGCCTTGTGCTTACTCAGTGATGCCATGCTGTGTTACTAGCCTTGTGCGTACTCAGTGATGCCATGCTGTGTTACTTGCCTTGTGCTTACTCAGTGATGCCTTGTGCGTACTCAGTGATGCCATGCTGTGTTACTTGCCTTGTGCTTACTCAGTGATGCCTTGTGCGTACTCAGTGATGCCATGCTGTTACTAGCCTTGTGTGTACTCAGTGATGCCATGCTGTTTGACTAGCCTTGTGCGTACTCAGTGATGCCATGCTGTGTTACTAGCCTTGTGCTTACTCAGTGATGCCATGCTGTGTTACTTGCCTTGTGCTTACTCAGTGATGCCATGCTGTCTTACTTACCTTGTGCGTACTCAGTGATACCATGCTGTGTTACTTACCTTGTGCGTACTCAGTGATACCATGCTGTGTTACTTACTCAGTGACGCCATGCTGTTTGACTAGCCTTGTGCTTACTCAGTGATGCCATGCTGTGTTACTTGCCTTGTGTGTACTCAGTGATGCCATGCTGTGTTACTAGCCTTGTGCGTACTCAGTGATGCCATGCTGTGTTACTAGCCTTGTGCTTACTCAGTGATGCCATGCTGTTTACTCCTTGTGCTTACTCAGTGATGCCATGCTGTGTTACTTGCCTTGTGCTTACTCAGTGATGCCATGCTGTGTTACTAGCCTTGTGCTTACTCAGTGATGCCATGCTGTGTTACTAGCCTTGTGCTTACTCAGTGATGCCATGCTGTGTTACTAGCCTTGTGCTTACTCAGTGATGCCATGCTGTGTTACTAGCCTTGTGCTTACTCAGTGATGCCATGCTGTGTTACTTACCTTGTGCGTACTCAGTGATGCCATGCTGTGTTACTTACTCAGTGATGCCATGCTGTGTTACTAGCCTTGTGCTTACTCAGTGATGCCATGCTGTGTTACTAGCCTTGT